ATCAATAAATTCGCTCCATCTATTCTAGCCATTTCGGAGACTTGGTTATTGCCGGGTTCCCGCTTTAGGGTTTCTGGGTATCGATGTCTCCGAGATGACAGGGATGATGGCTATGCTGGCTGTGCCTTTTTGGTCAGCCGATCCCTCACCTTCCACTCATTATCTCTTCCTCATTGTGATGGTATTAATGCTGTTGCTATGAGAGCTTTTAATATCTCGTTTATTTCTGTTTATATTCCCCACCCCCATATCGACCTCATTTCTGATATACGTTCTATTATCCTTTCGGTTCCTCCTCCTGTTGTCATGTTGGGTGATTTCAATGCCCACCATGTTTCTTGGGGTTGTCATTCCTCAGATTCTTTTGGGTCCCTTCTACTAGATTTACTCGATGATATAAACATAAGTGTCTTGAATAATGGTTGTCCTACGAGAAGGAGTCTTCCATCTCAGAATCCCGCTAACGCAGTGGATTTATCACTTTGTTCTCCTGATCTTTTCCCTTTTCTATCCTGGCGTGTTTTTAAGAGCACTTGTGGGAGTGACCACTTCCCCATTTTAATTGATCTCCCAACCAATTTAAGGAGCGTTACTCGCCCTTCCCCTCTTTTAAAATTTAAACTGAATCAGGCCAATTGGTCAGACTTTTCATCTTCTATTGACTCTAAGATAGCTGCGCTCCCCGCAGTTTCTGTTGAAAACTGCCTATCTTCATACAATGATTTTGTCAACTCCCTCACCTCATCTGCCAGTTTACATATTCCACTCAAATCTTCTACACTAAGGAAAATTTCTCCTCCTTGGTGGGATTCCGAATGTACTGAGATGATTCGAAAAAGAAAAACGGCAGAAAGGTCATACAGTCTTTGCATGACCTTGGAAAATTTTTTAGTCTACCAACAAGCTTCTGCAGCTGCTCGCAGACTTCTTAATAATAAGAAACGTCTTGGTTGGCATAAGTTCTGTGAGAGCATGTGCCCTGGTACCCCTTCGTCTGTTGTTTGGAGGCAGATCAGAAGATTCCGTTGTTCCCTCAATTCTTATGATGTCCCTTTTAATGATCCGTCTAGCTGGATTACCTCCTTTGCCGACAAATTGGCTCCTCCATCAGTCCCTTTTTATTATTGTCTTCCTTATAAGTATAATTCTTACATCCCCTCTTCAAACAGTCTAGATTGTCAATTCTCCTTAGAAGAACTTAACAAAGCATTAAATGGTCTCTCTGACTCTTCCCCTGGAGAAGATGGAATCCCTTACTCATTCCTCATAAATTCTTCATTAGGCACTAAGAGGTACTTTCTAGATTTAGTAAACTGTTTTTTCGATCATGGAATTATTCCTGAATCGTGGAACAGACAAATCGTCATTCCGCTTCTAAAACCTGGCAAAGATCCATCAGATTTCTCTTCATACAGACCTATTGCTTTGTCTTCTACCCTTTTAAAAATTATGGAACATTTGGTTAAAATTCGTTTAGAATGGTTTTGTGAAAGTAACAATATCTTTGCAAAATCCCAGTTTGGTTTCAGGAAAGGCTTAAGTACGATGGATAGCCTAAGTATAATAACGACCGACATTCGCATTGCTTTTAAAAAAGAAACAGTTCCTGGTGGGTGTTTTCTTGGATATCGCATCTGCGTATGACCACGTGCTGGTTCCAGTGCTCAGGCAAAAAATGCTTCAGCTGAGTATTCCTGAGAAGTTGGTACGTTTTGTTTGCAATGCAGTTTCGAATCGTTATATTATTATAAGATCTCAAAATACGGAGCTGTCTCCTAGATCTATTTGGAGGGGCTTACCCCAAGGTTCTGTTTTGAGTCCTCTTCTGTACAACATTTACACCTATGACCTGGAGCTTGTTGTGAATTCCTTCTGTCAGATTCTTCAGTACGCGGACGATGTAGCCTTATACTTTTCATCAAATTCTATTGAAGAGGCATCATCACGCCTAAATTCGGCTTTGGATTATTTGGGTGATTGGTTAAATGATCATGGTCTCTCTATTTCTGTGCCCAAATGTTCGGCAGTCACGTTTACTACAAAATACAAGGTTCTACGGTGTAACATTTCATATAAAGGGTCCTTGGTATCGTGTTGTAAGCAAGTAAAATTTTTAGGCCTTATTTTAGACTCAAAGTTAAACGGTGTTCCTCATTTTAACCATGTGATTAAAAAAAGTGAGAAGGGTGTTAATGTTCTCCGTTCATTATCTGGTGTGAGGTGGGGAGCACACCCCTACTCGCAGAAGCTTTTATACAATGCTGTGGTACGAAGTCATTTTGATTATGGCACCTTCCTTTTAGATCCTGGCAACAAGCAAGCCCTTGATAAAATTTCCAAAATTCAATCGAAATCTTTACGCATCATCCTTGGTGCTATGAAATCCTCTCCCATCAATGCTCTCCAAATAGAATGTGTTGACCCCCCTGTATTTACGTAGACAATTTTTAAGTGACCGCTTCTTCATAAAAGTCCTTCAATACTCTTCACATTCCATCTTGTCCAAATTACGTCGCTTATCTAATCTCACGATGCCATCTAGTACAGGTAATGTTCCATGCCTGTTACACAGTTTTAATAAACTTTCTCGTCTTCCTAATCCTATTGAAAGTTTCCCTAGTAATCCCTTGTTTTTAAATAGTTATGAATCCCTCATTTTTGATCCTAAAATAATTTTAAACTTTGGAATTGAAAAAAAATCCACCCAAGCTTCCACTTGTTTTCTGGAAAAAATTTCAAAAGACTGGCAGGGTTGGTTAACGATGTATACTGATGCTTCCAAGATTCCCAATAATGAGTACATCGGTGCGGCTGTATGGGTTCCTTCATTCAAAACAGTATTGAGCTTTAAACTTCCTCCATTGACCTCCGTTTTTTCAGGTGAAGCTTTTGCAATCCTAGAAGCGGTTTTGTATGCTGAGTCCCACAACCTAAATAAAGTTACAATTTTTTCCGATTCTCGCAGCTGTTTACAGGCAATTCTTTCCAATCCATTCAGGTCTAAAAAAAACATAATACGATTCTAAAAATAAGAGAAGCTTTGTTTAGGTGTAGTAAAAAGATATTCATATTGTACTTTTGTGGATACCTAGTCATTGTGGTATAGCGGGTAATGAAACTGCTGACTCTTGTGCAAAAGGTGCTATTTTCTGCGGATCTTGTCAGCATACCAACATCTCGGCCCACGACCTATCAGCTCTTGCGTACTCCCACCTTTTAAAATCCTGGACTATTGATTGGCAATCTTCTAAAGTAAAAACTGGCAGACACTATGCTAATATTCAGTTTTCAATCCCTTCTTCGCCGTGGTTTTTTAAACATAAGTTTTTAAACAAAAAGGTCACGTCTATAATCTGCCGTCTTCGTATAGGGCACGCTTGTACTCCCGTTCATCTAGCCAAAATTAAAATTAAAGACAGTTCTCTCTGTGAGTGTGGTATGGACGAGGGCTCGACAGACCATATATTTTTTAACTGTTCTTTAATTAATGACTCGTTATTTGACCATCTTTCTCCAGATTTCCCTCGTCCATGTAACCTTAACTCCCTACTTTCCCTCCCATCCAGCTCGATCGTCAAAATTTTAGGGAAATTTATTTCTGTTAATAAATTAAAGTTATAAATAAGATTCTCCCCTCCATACCTTGTAATAAAATGTTAACCTCTTGTATATATTATTAGATGTCTGTGTGTGTTGTATTTATTGTGATGTCATTTTTGTTTTGGGTAACTCTGCTTAGATAAAATTCAATCTATCAAAATTATCAAATCTATCCTCACTGTGTGAAGACTTAGAACGTGACATTGGCGGAATTGTGATTTACACAGATGTCGCCATTATAAATAAAGTGAAGTGAAGTGAACTTCACGCATATTCTATTTCTTTTTACTTGTAGATTGTCTTATTCCTATCTCGCTCGCGCACGCTATATCACACTGCCAATTTTGTGTCATAGGTGCGCGCGCAATCGTAAAATTTCACTCTCATCAATTTTCCATAACGCGCCTAAAGAAGTACAACTTCAAAAATTCTAGAATTCACTTCACGTGTATTAATTTACACGATACGTCACAAGTGGTCCCAGTTTTGAATTCCGGATTATATTATATTTATAACAGTTTTGACTATTGAAAAAATTAATACTGTAAATAAAATATTATCTATACAAAGACTGCATCAAATACAAAGGTACATTAATACCTATGTATTTGATAATGTCTTCTAGTGATGGTCACCCAAAATTTATCATATCATCGCAAGAGTTATTGTCCTTTGTAGCAAGCTGCAAGGCTCCCGCCGATGTATAGGACTAAGACCAAACTCAAAGAAAGAAGCTCCTTTCTGAACTGAAGATTTTCTCACGTAAAACATTGTGACATGCTTTGTGTGTCGAACCTTGAATCCACAGATCAATTAGAGACGAGTCTCAGATCAGTAGGAATGCCGATATACTCTGAGATTATTGACGACTAAAACTCACGATTTTTTATATATTTTTTATTAGCCGGATACAAAGTCCATTGGCACCTAAAACTCACGATGATTACGAAATGTTACCAGAACCCACCTTCTGGTTTAACACCATAATGCCAAATATAACAAATGCTGAAGGAAAACATACACAATATGTAATATTATTAAATAAAAAAATAGTATCATTAGGTATTGAGAGGCCGTTTTAAAAAACTATTAAGTGAATGTTGAAATAATGTAAAATGGTAACACTTGTAATTATTTTGTATTACATTGGGTCTTTTATCGCAGTGTATAGTTTCTAATTAGAGAAAGAAAAATCTGATTTCACTTTTAATAAAAAAAAACAATCTAAAATTTTATAAAATTTTTATATTTGTAAGTCTTCATCTTTTTACGCTTGCCTCATAGAAAAAGTCTAATTAGTGACTTGTCAAAGCAATCATATGTTTCACTAATTAGTGATGTCAGTGTTTGTTTATTATTTACAACTTAACATTAGTCGCAAGTTATTACGCTGAAACATAATGAATGTCCCTGGAAGCACTGGGGAATCTTCGTGTAAACGACAAGAAAATGGCGACGGCCCTGTGGAACCAGATCGCCCACTAAAGAAAGCTCGTTTTGCTTGGCAAGTAAAAGGAAAATATCACTTAAAGAATGAAACTTGCGAATCAAATACTACAAATATAATGAAAGATAGTGGCCATACCAGTAGTTCATCACAAAGTCTTCAAGAACAAAAGGACTTAGTCGGAAACACTGAACAAAATCTTGAAATACTAGGAGACTACTTACTTAAACAGGATTTCAATACACTTGATTCCATAACAGACTCGGATAAAATTGTTCTTCCTAGTACATCTAGTGAAAAGCTGCCATATCCAAGATATGTTAGTTCCTTTGAAAGTTCTTCCAGTAAAGACAATAGAAGTAGTGATGATGAAAACTCAGTAACACCCATTTCATTGTTACATTCCAATAGTTATAGTGAGGATCAGTGTATTGCTCGATGGCAAGCAAGACAAGTAAGTATTGATAAACAGAGGCCACTTCAATTTACGCAGCAAAATAACTAAAACTAAATAACATCTGGCATGCTATTAAGCCATATATCAATCAGCTGAGCATGATTTGAAAGATAGAATTGACTAACTACATTTTAAACTATACTAACAATTTGTATTTTTCAGATGGCCAAATGTTTTGTGGATAATACAATAAATCGTGTTTTGGATAATTGGATGATTGCACCTTTACCTGCCGAAGTAGATAACAATCGATTTTTAGCATTAGATGTTGCTGAATTCATCAATAATCTTCCAGGAGATAATACAATTGAAAATGAAGGTATACTTATGGCGATATCAGCTCATGGACTTCAAAATACAAGCACAAGTAATAATCAAGAAGAAGAGCAAAAACAATCAAGTAATAAGGATATGTTTAATACTCCACCTTGTAGTCCTGTACCATCTGAAGACTTCACATCAAATAGTAATAATAACAATGACCCTAGCTCCTCTAGTGAACTGGATATGTCATGGTCATATGATGATGAAGCAAAACAGAATGAATCTAATGATATGCAGTTTTCATACTTTCCTAATCATTCAACTTCATATAAATATTATGGAGAAAATGAGCTTGACAGTTCAACAGTAAATAATGATGAAAATACTCTAAACTGTGATAATGTTATGGATAATTATGATTTTCTAGATACTGCTGTTACATTTGCAATTCAAAATAAAGGGCTGGCATCTTTTGGCTCTGAGTATGGGTAATACTAAATGGATCAGGGATCCTGAAGTATTATAAAATAAATCTACTTAAGGTTATATTTTATAAAATTGTATTATGTATTTTAAAACCTAAACTGCCATAAAAAATATTTGTTACCTATAAAGTATAATAATTTTATGCAACTTAAATCTAAGGAAATGCACAGTTTACATCAATTTAGATGTGATTGACTAATTTTATATACTGATTAACTTTTATTGGGAGCATTATTTCATGCTTATTCAGATAAACAGTTATCTATAGTTATGAAATTGTAAGAAACTATCTTATTAATTATGTTTAATTATTTATTGAGATCTGAAATTCTGATTATTTTAAGTAAATATTTTGGTGCTTTTTACAATGTATCATCAGACTTTTGCTGAAATTAGTTTTTAATTTAAGTTTTCTGTTCTAGCAGTTTATAAGTGAGCTAATATAATGGGGTTTGTAATTACATTTACAGGCATTCAAAATATTGTTTGGATACTGAAACCATAGTGATAATACATCCTAACTCCTGTGTTGTAAAAATAGAAAGTACAAAACTAATATTTCCATATTTCTCTCAGAGATGCTAATTCTGACATGCAACTTTAAAAGTTTTATTCACAGCTGACATGTCTTTAGGATCCAATTATGGTACACTATTATTGCAATTGAGTATTATTTATAAACATTAATTACTCTTTTGCCCTTTAAATTTATGTTACTTAGATTAAGAGATTAGTGTAATTTGTGTTTGTCAGAATTAGCACCATTGCATTATAAGGACAAATACTACAATAAGTTTACCTATAAGCTATAGGTCTGTTTACTAAAATAAAAGGATTATAGCGGACTGATTCAATACATTGCATTTTTACTCTAAAACCTTGATACCGTTAATATTTTGTCAAAAGTATCAAGAAAGAGTTTTTATATGTACAGAGCAAGTGAATAAAAATTAAGAAAACAACTTCCATTATACATTGTGACACTGAAAGACTAACTGCGTCATTGATCTAGTAGTTAGCATGTTCGACTGAACATCATAAGGAGTCTGGTTTGAACCCTGGTCGGTGTCTGAAATGAAAATAGGCATTTTTTTTTATATAGGAAGTTGAATAAACACAAGCTTCCGGTACTGCGCCGGCTCATGTGATACTTCTAGGACTCCTTTAAATAAAGTGCACTACTTATCTCAGAAAAATGTTAATAACCTAACATTACGTCTTTTAAAAAAAGACATAAGAATATTACTTATCCATACATAAGTAACATTCTTTCTTAATGGGCTACAAAATATATTTTAATAACATTCTTACGAAAAATTTAATTAAACTGCTCTCTGAGATTTTGTTTGATTACTATTTTATTTTCTGAATGAAAAACAAAACTTATTTAGAGTGCATTACAAACTATAACATGTGAAAAAAAATGTACTCGATGTGTATTTGTATCGAGCCTTAAGGAATGAGTGAATGTAGCAGAAGGATTAAGGGGTGAGGTAAAATTAAAATCTTTACTAACAATTTTATTATTGCTTGTTATTATTCACATAATACAAAATAAACTATGCACAAGTTTAAGACCACTGACTTAATTCTATTTTGACTTTATAAAATATTCAGAATTACAACGTGTTCTTTCATCACAACATGACGACTGTAAAGTTATTTCAACATATTAAGTATATAATTAATGTACATAGCAGCAGTCTCCCGTAAATAATAATTGTGATGCTCTCACGTACTTAAATAATTTTACATTAATGGCCACATTACGCTAGATATATAAATCTAAATAATGTAACTGTACAAGTGGCTCCATAATTCATATTATTTACATGAGTTTAATTCGGCAGCTAAACTAGGCGACTTTAACCACTAGTATTTTTTTTACTTGATGGCCATTTCTTTGAAAAATTATTATATAAACTAAAATTTATGTAAAATCAGGTCAATCCATTTCAATGTTAAAGGTAAAACATTTACAACGATATTAATAGTATGTAGATGGTTAGAAATTGTATAAAAGTGTATATAATAATACTTATGTATATCCTCAAACGTGAGTCGCGATTAAAAATAATGTCATGGTTTTGATAAATAAAATAATCGTGTAATCTCATACAGATAATGCTGCAATCCTATATTTTGTAATGCATAAAACAAATATGTGACGTTACACTGCGGTATTTTTTTACAGTTAAATAAAGTCAATACTTAATGGGAATAGGGTCAGACCAAATTTACATGATACAAATATGAACAACATAAACAAACTCATTCATGCTTCCCAATCATACTTTACCCGAGGTGAGCATATTAAAGTTATCTGAAACATAAATCCATATAGTAAATAAATTTCACAACCTATCAATAAATTATTATTCGCAAATAAGTAAAAGCTGCTTGGTTCAGTTGCTCTATTTTAATTATCGGATTATAGGAAATGGCACAAGGTAGAACATAATATGCTTAAACTGTTTTGAAAATTAAAATGAAATGTCCCAATTTAAAACATATTAATACACGATATCAAACATTAAATAATCTTAAAATAAGGCATTATTCACATACGATAGAAAGATTCGAAGATTGACATCAGAGGGTTAGACGGCGTAAACCACGCACTTTTCACAATTCACAGCCGCGTGTACCCAAAGTCAATCGAATTTATATAATCTCATTATCTACTCGCTATTATGTTATTTACACAACTTATTTTACAATTTATCCTTAAAAAATCTTCAAAAGTTAAAAAATTGACAAACACATTTTAACACTCCTATAATTAAGAAAGCGTATGGATTCATTATAGTATGTACAATTTCATTAACGCGCTAATATTACATGCAAATAAGGGCACCAAATAATAAGTACATGACTTGCCTAGCACTGGGTTGTTTATTTTGATACATTTCACAGCAGAAAGACTTTACTAACAAACTATATGAAATTTTATTATAAATATATTGATGAAATTAAAAACATTTATGGCCTTATTATAAGCGTACTATAAGCTTTAGTCTGAGTCTTAGTAAAGACGGTTTTTTTTAATACACTGTATTTGCAAAATAGTCTATATTCAGCTTAAAGTATGTTTACAAAGGAGGTAGTTAGTATTAAATAATTGGTAAAAATGCCAAAATACAAATAATAATTTAAAATATAGTTCAAATTTAATCTGAAATCTTTCCGCTTGTATAATAAAGCCTTTTAAGTTCACCATCAAATAATTTATATGATAGTGTATGTATGATTGTTGATTAAAATCCAATCGCAAAATTAAGACCCACGTTCCAAAATGTATTCAAGCCCTATTTCAATTCGATAATTAAACATTATTCGCATTATCAAGAGTAAACCATCTTTAATGATGGGAAATACAACCTATTAGGCTACAGTGCTATTGCTTGTTTTAGATGACAACTATCCATATTTCCCATAAAAGGCTTTTTAGAATAACGTCAGAAGTACCGAATAATCTTAGTAAGGACTTTATAGTTTACTGGGAAAATGAACAGATATTTATGAGAAATATTACTCCCCATGACTTATATAATTAAGTCAATAAGTTAAACAAAACCAAATATTTTGATTAAATCAAATGACAAAGACAGTAGATCACTTAAATAGCATATAGCCCTACAGGTTTAAAGTTTAAATTCTCAGTCTAGACTATGGGTCTTAGTTTAAGTTAATTGCTCATATACATATAGAAATAAACTGGTGAAAAATTCTATATAAGGTGACTTAATTTAAAGCTCATATTGTGTGTGATTCGGTTTGTGCTTCTAGGGGCAGAGATTTTATTTTTCCATAGTGTTCTTGGTAAATTTTTTGAATAGATAGACAAAAACAAAGTCAGTTAAAATTGTCTCCGTACATATTGAACTCAAGACCTGTGGTCTAATCTTCACTAGATGGAATTCTACAAATAGGAAAATAAAGTGGTGTGATTTTTAGTATGTTTTAATATAACTAAAGGCACACTTAACATGCATGGACCTAAATGTGAGATTAAATAGCACCAGCTATTTATAACGAGAAAATACCGCTTCCGTTTAATTATTGTATTATATTATATTTTCATCTACGCTATTTGACTACAAAAATCTTTGATTTGTGTAAGCACATCATTAAATTCCATAATAAAACCTGCTGCCACTAGACATACTTGTACATGTACTTTCAAACTAAAGTTGAGCTTTACTATTTGCTGAGCAAACTGTTATAATTGTTGAAAGTACACTAAGTCACAATTTTTATAAGGCGGAAGTTGAATCTTAGACTATATGTACACTATGCACAGACTAAAGCGCACATTAGCCACAAAATGGCATCATCATAATATTGCTTAAATCAGATTTAGTTTACTACCTAATGAAAGATCACATAAGATTGCTTTTTGTATGTATCATTTAACATTTGTATTACCGTACAATTTGTGTATACTTCACGATAATCATAATTTTGTAATTGCTATACTCATGTAAAAATGCCAAGTTGGTACAATTAAACCCACAAACCCAGTATGAGATCCTTCTATGGCCTAAATTCATAAATCTTAAACCTTGAGAATTGCAAAAACCTAATTTAAAAATGGTTTGCAGTTCTCATAGTTTAAGAATTTATATAGAATATGGACCCAAAACATATAAACCATTTCATTTTTAATTTACGATTAAAAACAAACTAGATGAAGTGAAATAAATACTTGTGATGAGTGGCAATGAGCATACTCAATGGTGTGGCAGGACGGGCAAAGGTAGGGCGCATCGCTATGGCTTAAATTTTACAAGAGGTATGTTTTTAGAGTGCAGGCACTTGTCACAAACCCACTCCGCGTATACTTCTGCTGTCAAAAGCTGAAAAGCAGGCTCTGTTAGACCTGTGCATCCCCTGAAAATGTGAGATAAAAGTTGTTAATACAAAAAAAGTAATACTTATTTTATAGTTCTTGGCTCTAGTGGTGAGTCATTAGATGCACTAAGGTAGCGTTTCAGAATTTTTGTAACAAAGTACATGTTATAACTTTTTCCCACACAATGTCACTTCCAAAGTTTACTTTTGCAGCATTATTTTTATATTACTGAAATTCTATAGATTTATTTAACTATGTTAGAAATTTAGCAAATTTACTAAAAATTTGATGGATTCCTCACCTGTGAAACCAAAAATTGCACCCAGATTCACATAATATAGCCTGATCATTATCATGTACTTCTTTGTGACAAACACCACAAGGATATATAGGTGGTGCATTTGGATTCTGTGGGTTGAAGACCATGGGTTGATCCGGTGGATACACTTTCCCTGCACTCACTGGCATTGGCTTAGGCCCAAACATACCCATTCCTTGCCCCATGGGTCCTTGACTTCCTGGTCCTCCCATTGCCATTCCACTCATGCCCGCCAAAGGTCCACAATTACCCATATTTCCTGGGCCAGGACCCATTCCCATTGAACCACTTCCACTCATTCCCATAGGACCACCATGCCCCATATGGCTATTAGAATATGGCGGCCCAGGTCCCATTGAGTTCATTGGACCATTAACACCCATAGGCCCACCGCCAATTCCGGAGCCCATTGGACTACCATGTCTCATTGGTCCACAATGTCCAGGCCCCATTCCACTATTTTGCATAGTACTTGGAGACATAATAGAATTGCTTGGGCCCATACTACCATTAGAACAATTAGGTCCCATTGGCCCATTCATCCGGGGAACATTCATACTTGGTCCTCCGCCACCCATGGGCCCGTTCATAGGACCATTCATAGATCCTGCTCCTAAGGGACTATGCATTGGTGGACCCATTGGGCTGTTACTCATATGACTACCCGCCATTGAACCCATGTTCATTGGACTTCCCATAGGTCCTGTTGACATAGGAGAACCCATTGGCATAGAGTTCATTGGGCTCATAGGACTCCCCATAGACCTTGATCCTCCCATACCAGGCCCCATACTGTGATTACTCATACCCATGTTAGGACCACCCATGGGTGACATACCACCCATATGACCCATGGGGCTCATGTTACCCATGGGGCTGATTCCTCCTCTAGGTGGCATTTGTTGATTCATTGGACTTATATTGTGGGGCAAGGGACTCATGTGTCTCATAGGTGGTCCTCCCATACTGTGCATAGGTCCCATCATTCCCATCGGGCCATTTTGATTCATCATAGGTCCATTTTGACTCATCATAGGACCATTGTGTGATACAGTTGAAGGTGAATCATCAAAAGGGTTTGAAGCAACAATTGTATCTCCATACCCTGTCAAAGGAGGAGGTAGTAAATCTTGTACAGTAGGTGGAGTCTGTTGTGTAGTTAAGGCATTGTTGGCATTTGAAGTTTTTCTTCTCTTCTTGGGATTACTTGGTGCAGGAGCAGGAGGTGTGGGTGTGTCCATGGGTGGTTTGAAATCTGGGGGGCCCAAACCAGGACCCTGCAACCTGTAGGAGGGCATTCCAGCCAAGTTGTGACTCATATTTGCTTTATTCTGGTACAGCTCTGACAACCATTATGAAGTTTAGATATTTTGTAAAATTATTTAAAAAATACGATTGTACATAGGGCACCCCATTGTCACAAGAAAGCGCAATAACTTGCCGGAAGACTGCTTGTGTCTATTTCTGTAACAAAATATTTATCATGAAAACGTTGATCTAAAACAAACCTTTCGCAATTGTAATAATTGTGATGACTTGTAACTAAATGTACACGTAAAATTACCAACCATGTATATATTTGAGTTCGACGAGCATCAATGATTACGATATCATAAAAAGAGTACAAGATTATGAACCATCTCATTTTATATGCATTAATTAATGCTTCGAGGAATTTTATTGGTTGTCATAGGGCTATTTCGGTAATTTAATGCCAAATATTGACATATAACTTACTGCATTATCAATTTAGCATCGGAATTACCGATTATTTTTTTGTCTTCATCGAGACCCCAAAGGCGTGCAACATATGATAAAATATCAAACGATTAACACTTTTAGTCAAAAGTTCGCGCCGTCACTAAAAGGTTTCCGAACAGATTGTTGTTTTACTTTTAAGAATTACACTTACAACAATAATTTCTAGTCTATTGAAGGCATTTTATTTACGAATCACGAAATACCAAACAACACACGCCACATTCACGATGTATTTTTTGTCACAAAGTTGCCGCTAGGGGTCGGTATCGGTAATTACGTAGTGTTACTATAAAATATTTTTAAGTTACCCGAAACAATTTACTGAGTTTAAATTTTATGTTTATTTTTGTCAATCAAACACTAAAAGCTTATTTGAAATTCATCAAGATTATGAAACATTTATGTTATTTCTGTTTAAATCTAAATATATTTTAAATAGATTTGCTATTTTGTAAAACTTTAAAATATTTACTTAATTTCATGGCAAAGGTTGCCAAAAAGAAATACTTTACTTAATGAAGTAAGTTGTAGTAAAATTGGCACATTAAATAAGATAGATGACGTACTCTATTATTCTGACTGAAAGACTAGTATCCATGGTAAAATATTACATTCAATTTGAGAAAAAAAATTAAGATTGAACTCAGACAAATTTAACAACGATTTCTAGTGCATTATCCAATAAAAATTGTAAAAAATATCCTATCATTAATATATTTTTTAATAATATTCGATCGACCACTATTTGCAAAATATATTGTATCATACATACATCTAGCGTTTATAACAAATTGTCAAAGCACTAAAAATCTTTAGTTTTTTGGGTTTACTACTTAGTCTGTATAGTAGAGTCTAGACTTTAGAGAATAGAGATTGTTATTTGACTTTTGAGGTTCTACGAAAGACTAGGCGGTATGGTCGAATGACTATAGCCTGCGCCATGGGCGAAAAAAAAAAGACTTTTGAGGTTATGGTTTATATAGGGATGTGACATTCTGCATAATAAATCGATTTTTTTAATCGATTGTTTTAGCATGAAAAATCGATTAATAAGTAAAAACAAACCATAGAAATTATAAACACGAATTAAAGTTTTAGAATAATCAAAATTGAAATTAACCTAATCTAGTTTTAATAGGTTTTATATGAAATTTGATAGATGCTGAGTGTATGCCTTTTCAGTAGCACATTGCAATATTTTTGTTGTCTTTTTTATTGTATGTAACCTTATTATACAAGGTTATAAAAGACCAGACATAATATTGGGAGGTGGCAAATAAAAAATCAAATTTGATAGATTTTCAATTAAAAAAGATTCGATTATTTTTAAAATTAAAATCGATTACAAAAATCGATGTTTTCCATAATTGATTATTTTTTCACATCTCTACATTTATAGACTACCTTTTGCTTTTCCCAAATCCCATTAGGGAATTAGGGATAAATTAATATCATCATTCATCATCATCATATGATTTATAGATTAGTAACAATATTGGGAACAAATTATTAATGGATACTTTCTATAACATTTGAATATGGCTTTAAATAGGTTATTTTCGAATCTTTCAATCTCGGCTTCTACTAGTTTTATTTACAGACGGACTCTGCATGCTAGTGCTGTAAAATTTGCTAGTAAACCAAATATTGTGAAACCAAAACCAGGATTTGGTAAAAGTTACAGAAGAATTGTACATTTTCCAGAAGAGTACACCGTAAAACCTTTAGAAGTAACAAACTTAGCTGGTAGGGATCCTGAAACAGGTGAGATATAATTGTACAATATATTTTAATATATTTTAGTTATTATACTTTATATATGTGTATTGTACAATTTTTATTAAATAAAAATATCTGAGGTTTTACATCCGTTTTCGGAAGGTCGAGTTGTTGCTAAAGGAATAGGTGGTGGTATAAAACACAAATATCATTGGATTGATTGGGTCAGAGACGGACCAACTGAAGGAACTCCTCAAGAAGAAAAAGTTATTCAGGTATTAAAAATATGTTCATGTGAACACTAATAATGCATGTGTTATTATTGTTCTTAATTAATTGTTCATAAAAATCTAAATATTTCTAAATATGCACCATATTTTACAAATAGTAGTTATTTTTTTTAATTGATTTGTTGCACTTTTAGGTATTGGAAGATGGATGTAGGACAGCACATGTTGCTCTTGTAGCTATTGGAGATAAACTAAAATATATTCTTGCTACAGAAAATATGAAAGCTGGTGATATTATCAAAACATCAAGGCTTTTACCTAGAATACCAGGTAACATGCAAAACTTATACTAATATTATAAATGTATTCTATAGTGATAAATTAGTTAATTGCAACCATTTGAGCCTACTCATCTATATAATTTTGCCTAAAAATAGAGGTTCAAATGTTAGTATCAGTTAGTGCAATATTATTATTATTATTATAATAGCTTCTTTATTTCCATAATGAATAATATATTAAACAAGTATTATCATATGATTAATTATTACATAATATGTGCATGCATAATAAAAAAATATATATTACTATTAATAATCCTTTAATTTAAATTCCAGTCATAATTAATAATTTCAATGTATGTACATCTAAATGATAAATTAAAAAGACTCAAAACTAAAAAGGATCAAAATTAATTTTTATAAATCATAATGGACCCCTCTACGGGTAAAGGTCTCCTCCATTTTGCTCCACATCTGTCTGTATTTTGCTTTGGTGATCCAGTTTTCACCAGCTTTTCTTTTTGTTTCACCAATCCATTTTTCCTTTGGTCTACCTTATGTTAGTGCACTATTATTTACTTAACACTGGATACTTGCAAATTTTGAACAATAATAAAATGCTATGCTATATCCATTTACATACACTGTTGCAATTTATACTTATGATTGTTTTTAGGGTTATGTCTTCTGTGCCTGATCCTTCTGATAAATTTTTGAGTCTATAATATTACAAGGTTTTCTGTCATCATATAACAAAAATGTTGATTTTGCAACTGTTAATTAATTTTCCTGATTCTAAATTTTAAATAATAAATTAAATGTTCTATAATTTTTTCAGTCAGGGCTAACGAAGGTGATGCTTATGTGTTGGGTGCTCTTCCAACAGGAACAATAGTTCATTGCATTGAAAAAGAACCAGGTAAATATTTATTGATAATAAGTTACCCATATTACATAGTTGTATATAAGATACAGTGTCATAGACAAAATCAGAAAGTCTTATAAGTTTTTACAAAATTATGAATATTCAAACACTAGAGCGTAAAAAAATATATTTTGTAATCAAATTACTATTTTAAAAAACAGTTACTTTTTTTTGTAGGACAAGGAGGATTATACATCCATGCAGCTGGTACATTTGGCACAATATTAAGGAGGCAAAATGATAGAATAGTAGTGCAGATGCCTTCGAAAAAGCTTTTTAGTTTTAATGAACATTGTATGGCTGTTGTTGGTGAGTCAATACATATTACTTACACTATCTAAAACCTGAAAATATGGTACAAGGGTTTCTCTGATAACTACAAGACTAGTAAAGGTTACATACTATTATTTCAGTACAACTTAAAGTATTTACAGCATTATTATTAAATTACATACAATTAAAAGTAGAATAAGTTTAAAAGAAATGTGTTCTCAAAGGGACAAAAATATTTTTCTAGGTCGTCTATCCAATGTTGATCATGGTAATACACCAATTGGTTCCCCACAGCGAAACAGATGGCTTGGTAACAGACCTCGTTCTGGTCTATGGAAAAGAAAAGATGGCAGACATGGAAGAAAAATCAAGCCACCAAAGCCAGTTAAAGAAATTTTTCACCCAACAAAGTATTCTTTGCCCGCAATAAATTTGGACATGCGACCTTAATTTTATTATAAATATTGTAGTTAAATGATTAATTTTGTTTATTTTTTTGAGTTAATAATTCCATTTGACTTAATAGAAGGTTAATACCGAAATCTACTGAATGGAATTTGTCCACAAATAAAGCAATGCTGGTTGTTAATGTGGTAGTATTAACCATATTATAAGATTATGAAAGTATTTTATTCAAAGTGTTTAATACTTGCATAATCATTAGGTATCTGAAATGCAATACCTATTTTGGTTAAGCACTTCATAATAATAAGTGAAACAAATGTAACAAGAACATTGGCAACTTTTAATCATTGTTCTTCCCAGAAAGAAATAGCATTATAAAGTATTCATTAATATTTAAAAAAATAACTTTTTAAAAGTTTTATTGAAATATCATTTTGGAATTATTTTAACAAACATTATAGACCACAAGCCCATGAACAAAAAATACCTGTGAAATGACCCAACGTGAATTAGCTTAGAAGGCTGTTACTATATCTGAAAATAGCTCTGAGCACTATGCCGTCATTTCTGAGCGGTACATGTGAGTAGGAGTGAATGGACTTTCTCATGTACAATGGGGAATTTCGACTAATTATTAATGTACGGCTTTGTTATAAGTGTATAGATGATTAAAAATAAATGTCGAAAAACTTAGTGCCGTACTAAAGTGATGGTACGGAAGTCGGTGCAAATTTTTAATTCGACGACAGTTGCAGGAGCAATATAGGTCATTTATTACTGTAGGATTTGTGTCATTCCTTTTGGACACATATACAGATACTTTACCCGTAAACGCCGTACATATTTCCAGCGGAGCGGTCGAAAGAAGGGTCGGAACCCTACCCCTACACCCATATACCCTAAGGTCATTGTAAAATGTACGGCAACATGTTCAAAATATTATTTAACACGGACAATAATGTTTTATAATTATGCCGTCCAAATATTATAGTTAATATTTGTGTAATTAAATATTTATCGAAATTTCAGGATTTACCAAGTTCTTACTGCTGTAAGATCAGAGAATAATGTACGGCAACTTGTTTTTTACATAATGTTACTAAATATTACCGTTGTACATTATAGCCGTTCATTATAAATGGTAACAAATAAAAATATTATGATAAAAAATATATGAAATTTCCGAAATTTAGATGACTTTTCAAATGCTCCTAGAGTAATATGGGGAGTAATATTTTCAAAGATTATTGTTATTTTATATGTAACAAATATAAATAAACAAAAAAACCAGATGCCGTACATTTTACTCCAATTATTCTTTACAGCTGATAAAAACTTCGACGACGTTTGAGGTGTCCCTTAAGGTCATTAATAACTGTACATATCTGAGTATACTACCATAAGGCTGTAAGTAATTTAAGCCTTATGGCGCGTCATACCAGGGGGGGGTAAAGGAAAAATATTTTTAACAAAAATATATATAATACAAGGGTCCCAAAGTTATGAGACATGAAGGGAAAGTACCTTAAATATCGCAGATAGGGTATTTTACTAAAAAGAAGACTTTATGTTATTTATAAAAGTTAGTAATTCTGCATTCAAAGATTTTTTTAAAACTACTTGCCTCGTCTGGAAATCGAACCGGCTTAAATTAAAAAAAAACACCCCTACTTTTATGATGCCAATCGAAAGAATGGCCAAAACCTAATAACTTTTCTAAAGTAACAGACTCGTAGGGGATTTTTTTTAGGCCGAATACGATAGATAATGTTTTTAATTTGATTAAAAAGATATATTCACGCTGTTCCTTTCTTTTAAAAATACTATGTTACTTAAGAAGAGTTATTAGTTTTTGGCCATTCTTTCGATTGGCATCATAAAAGTAGGGTGTTTTTTTTACATTTAAGTCAGTTCGATTCCCAGACGAGGCAAGTAATTTTTAAAAAATCTTTGAATGCAGAATTAATAACTTTTAAAAATAACATAAAGTCTTCTTTTAGTAAAATACTCCTATCTACGATATTTAAGGTACTTTCCCTTCATTTCCCATAACTTTGGGACGCCCTGTATTGGTAGGCGGTGGTAGCGGACTATTGAAAGTGTACGGCATTTATCTTTTATTGAAGATTGTCTAAAGTATTAATAACCTGTGTTATTGCCGTACAGATAAAAGTCACCGGAAAATGACTCTTTTCTGAGGAAAGTAATTTGCCCCATACACCTATGTGTTCCACAAAAAAATGTACGGCATGCTGGAAAATGTTATCTATTTGTGAAGTACTCTCAAGATCATTTAATTTTATGTTGATTCATATCATCATCACCTATATGCTAATCAGACATATGTTGCGACCCTTGGCTTTCGACGCTCCGCTGGGAATATGTACGGCGTTTACGGGTAAAGTATCTGTATATGTGTAAAAGGAATGACACAAATGCCGTACAGTAATAAATGACCTATATTGCTCCTGCAACTGTCGTCGAATTAAAATTTGCACCGACTTCCGGCACCATCACTTTTGTACGGCACTAGGTTGTTCGACATTTATTTTTAATCATCTATACACTTATAACAAAGCCGTAGATTAATAATTAGTCGAAATTCCCCATTGTACATGAGAAAGTCCATTCACTCACGTACTCACATGTACCGCTCAGAAATGAGGCATAGTGCTCAGAGCTATTTTCAGATATAGTAACAGCTTCTAAGCGTAATTCACGTTGGGTCATTTCACAGGTATTTTTTGTTATGGGCTTGTGGTCATTAAGCATTTTTTCAATAATTTAAGAAGTAGGCATGAAAATATCTAAAGATTTAAAAGACATTTATTATTCATGGTCATCATCAGAAAATGTCAATATCTGCAAAACAAAACTTTTATTAATAATCTCTTTCATTCAAAAATATTTTTCATTCTGCTTTACGCTTTTGAGATTCAACCCAAATGTTTTGTAACACAGCACAAAATTATTAATTAATTATCAAATTAAAAATCATCATTTAATGTTTTAAAACATATAAGTATAAAATACTCACGTCAGCCATCTCAGCACTTAAATGCAGTTCTTGTAAACCAGTTATTTCCTCCAGATAAGTACCACTATTGAAGACTTTTAGAAGAAATTCAATTCCTTCATTTCTATAATTAGCTATCACTATATCAGAACAAGCGATACACTGTTTAAATTTGCCACAAGTTGGTGTAACATTTTGATATGTATGGAGAAAACCCCTGATTGAGTGAGGTATTGGGCCAAGAACCCCATCTATAGATGAATCCTCTTGGGTTATATTGTATGGGGCAGGGGCGTTTATTCTGAAAAAAAAAAATTGTGGTATGCATAAAGGTGTATTAAAAAAAGTATGAGTTGTGTGAGCCAGAATTAATTGAGCATATAGTAAATGTGTCTAGCTGGGGTTCTAACGCACTTCCCTTGTATTGCGCGTTTTTAAGGTCAAAGCTATAGTACCGGCAACGCTTGGATCAAAGTGTAAAATGTACAAACAAATAGTTATTTTCGGTAGATGGCGTTAAAAATCGCGTTAAAAGCATATTGGTATTATAGTTACCCGAGTGGATGTTGCAACAGCCCAACTAGGAGTTCAACGGCTAATCCGCCAGCGATGGCCGCTACTCCCGGCCGAGTCACTGTGCATTGCTGGTCTAATGTACGGTCTTTTACCGACTGTAAACAAATAATAATAAGTTAATACTATTTAAATAAAAAGTATTCCATCCTGCAAATCGTGTTAGATGCCATTATTGCGACTCTACGAACCGCTGGCGCAGATGATTTATTTAAGGAAATAAAGGCGTACTAGTGTCTAGTTAATAACTTAAAAAGAGCTATATGTATAAAGTAGGTACTTACATTACCGGGTGCTGTGACGTCATTGCAAAAATAGCAGCCAAGTTGAGCGCCATCTACATGAGAGTTCTTTATATCGTTCGGCGCGGATGCAAGCCCCAGACCGTGGCGCATTACTAGGTAAGTATCAAAGCCTAGCGCCGCATTTATTGCTATCTAAAAAAGTTGTACAATTACTGTAACTTGAATCAATTGTATTATTTATCATAGACCAACTTCACTAATAGACAACGGCCTTCAAAAAATTTCCCCAAAACTTAATAATGAAATACAGAATTTTATAGAAATAAAATGATATTTTTAATCCTACTTTCTCAATTATATTTTATATATATATTTATAGATCGCATTACAAAATACATGTGACAAAACATTAAATTCAATTGTGATTTATTATTTTAATCAATACCTTCCCATAATGTGCAGCAATCAAAGTAGGCAGCCATCTTGCTTCCCTTGTGTCCAGGAGGAGAAATATAACATCATGTTCTTGTATGGCATCAATTATTTGTTTTATATTAGAAATGGTTTCTTCTTTAAGAGATTCACCAATGGGATGACCAGGCATCGGAATGTGTAAAGCTGATCCATGGCTAACCTGGTAGTTAGTTTTATTATTTTCTTTTATAAAAATATGAATCCCATGATGTTTTACCAAATTCACACTTTTGTTGTTTCACATTAATTAAGAAATAGTTTGTTTATTCTTTAAAATATACTTACAACACTTGGCAATATTTTCTTAAGGTTATCTGCGGCAGCATTTGCTTTCATTTTTCCACCATTTAGACAGTCCTCATAATTAAACAAAACTTGTCGCGATGGATTAGAAAATGACACTTTTCCATTATCTATGAATGTGATGTGTCGGAAACCCCAAGCCTGTAGAACAGGAAATTTTTATAAACATAATAATGTATGTTTAGACATTCTATAGAAATAGCTATAGAATGTCTTTTGTCTTTCTGGCACTTATTAGTTACCATATATGCCACATCTGCCTTTATAATTAACACACCAACCTATCGCTATTTTAATAGAAAATAAGAACATAAAGGTCATTAAGGGGTTTTTGAAGTTATTTAAATGTGTTAGTTATACATTACCAATAAATCTCTTGCCACATGACAACCCAAAGTCCCAGCACCAAGTAGCAAACACTTAGTATTTCTCATAATATCCACATTAAGTTTGGGAACCAGTCGCCATTGCATCAACCTTATATTCAAATCTGATGATGTATCAGCTAATCTGTGATAAATTAATTGTAACATTTAAATAAAAACCATATAAGTATTTTTTGCTTTGAAATTTATAAGTAACATAATAAAAAGCTTAATAAATTTTATTCGGAATTAATGAAGAAAATGTATATCATATATTATTATGAATTTAGATAGCTCAAAATAAATATTTACATATGAAAACATGAATTCTAACCGCACAGGGTCCATAGATGCAGACATATTTGCTAACTTTGGCCCAAAATTGCCCTTATTGTTTCGTTCCCATCCCACCCAACCTTTGCCCGATTCAGGATTCTGAAAGATATCATATTTTTTATTACATAGGTAGATGTTTTTCAGTTAAATTGATAAAATAAAAGCAATACACTTCTGAGCATATTGGCTGCCCTAATTATTTCACTCATTACATTGAAATACAACAATAATATACTTTCTTGGTATATCAACAATTTCAATTATTAAACTAACCTGTTGTGCCTTTATAACAAATACTCTACTGTTTTCAACTGAACCATTTTTGTCCATCCTTATTCCTACAACTTTTGTAACAGTTCTAGCTAATAATGGATTATGTTCAAATACAGCAGCAAGAAGTATTCTCAGCGGCCATCCTGGATTATCAGTATTACTTGGATCCATAAATGCATAATACATATTTGTGGATCCTTGACTTTTTTCAAATACATCTGATATTTTAAGTACTTTTAATTTGTCATCCTCAATAGCAATCACAAAGAAGTATTTCTGTGTTGCTTCTAAACTTTTGAACTCCTCTGCTATTTCATCTAGTTGTTGATTATTAAAATGTGCTGAAGCTAGGCTACTTTTTTCATTTAGATATACTGTAGGTTGACTGGGAGTTGGAAATGCAAACCAATAATAGTAATGAAATTTTTTTAAGTCCTGAAATATTTAACCATTTTTTTTAATCTTTCGGAATAATATATAATGAGCTCATAATGATTTAAACTTACAGCAAATGAAAGTAAGAAGAAGTTTAATAATGAACTGGGATTGTCAATCCATGATCCAGTTTTTATATTCTGCCATAAAATTTCTCCTAAACTGTTTAGAAGTGATGCTTTGTCAATATTTTTGAAATCTTCAATTGTATTCTTGTTCATTACAGTTCCAGTTACATTCAAATAGGAGTGTTCTTGTTCTGGTGTCCTTAAAAAAATGACGAACTTCAATATAATAACAATGTATTAGATGTTTCTTTCAATAATATGGACAAAATTATAAAAAATAATAGCGAACAATTTTATATATTAAATACATTATCCAAGCAAACATTTCTTTAAAATATGAAACTTACTTGTTAAAAGAAGTTCCATCAACTTCAAAAACAGGTCCTATATCATTTCGATATGTAAAGCGTCCATATATTTGTTTCGTGTTTTCGTTTAATCTATCAACGTTTAGTTTTAAATCAGTTAAAGTATGCCAGAATGAAGGATGTACAAAAGACATAAACGGTACATATTGAATGATTTGATCATCGGTTGACGACATTTTAATCACTGGTTATATAGGAAAGGCTGTCTCTAGTAACGTAAACAATGCGTGTCCTTTGCCTTTCCAAAATAAACATTCCACTCTCTAGTCTGTTTGATAAATAATTAAGTTTAGTCATAAAATGCTATGTTAGTATATTGAGTATAGGAAATGTTTTATTGTTTTGACTTTTGATTTTGTCATAATAATGCGCAAACGGTAAATGTCAAATTATAGATTATCTGTCAGTGTCCCTACTCCCTGTCTGTTTCTATGTTTTACGTTGCGAAAAAATCCTTTTTGATTTATTATAGGGCCAAACGAAACCTAGCACCACATAAAATAAACCTTAGATTCTGGGTGAGATTCGCGTAAATCAAAATCCAAAACGTTTTTGACATACCTGAGTCATATAAGAGTAAAGTACACTGAAGAGTATTAGTTCTTCTTTTTTCTTTTCTCACAGTGGTTGCCTGGAAGAGATCGCTCGAAAGCGATAAGGCTGCCAGTTGTCCTGCTTTTCATTTAATTATGTTCAATTTTTATATTGTAATGCAACAAAGTATTTATAAATAAATAAACTTCTAGTCTGTAAATAAAAAATAGTGATGTCTGGCAGCATATAACAACTGAATTTTTAAATTAATGTCATATTATTCCGTTACTTTATAATGATTTTCTCTTACTGATTTATATTTTATTTTATAAATTTGGTTAACGTTATAGGTAAATGGTGATATTTATGTAGAAGAAAAAGGTATTTTTTTTATTCGTCGAAATTACTGTGAAAAAAAATCTGTAAGTATCTATTTTTCTTTTTTTACCAGTTCAAATTCATCTTATCAGTTCAGATTACTTATTGTAAAGATAATCTAGAGAAATCTGACTTATTTCATTTTCCTTAATACGCGTTCAGTATTGTATATGTATACTACAGCAGGCCGCATTGCTTACATAAAAACGATGTTTCCTTTTCAGAGAGTTGAGGTATTAATACCTAATACCATTATTTTAAAGATAACTAATATGGCTATTAACTCAGCTGAGAACCAAAGTAATGACTCAAGGAATTGGCAAGTTTCGAATAAAGCACCTCTTAGTTATAATGAAAGTATTACCAGTAGTGCTAGTAGTAAACGACAAAGAAAACATTTTGTATCGCCCTATCTTAATAGCGACAAAGTCAAGCTTCATTCAAGAGTCACTGAAAAAAAGGTAGTACAAAGAAAAACTACAGATTTCACGTCTTCATTCCCCTTAGCTATAAACATATATAAAGCTAACTCGGATGAATTTAAAATAGCTAAGCGGGCTTCGAAGAAAGGCAAGAAATGCGTTCACACTTTACTCAATGACCCTACGCCCCAACCGCAAATTTGCACTGTTAGTGACATGAATGATTCGGAATACAACGAAACAAAAATTTCAAGAAAACCTAAACCTAAAGTAAAAAAACGAAGGGTAAATAAAAATAACCCAGACAAAAATATCGAGATTTACGACAGAGATGCAAAATATTGCTCCCAATTCAATATTAATTTAGATAGTAGTTCGTCCGATATGTTTCAACACTTAACCGGCGACGGAAGAAAGGTTTTAAAAAAGCCAAAAAACATTTATGGCAGAAATCAAGTGATTGATAATGATGTATGGGCTGTGCTTAGGAATATAAATAAAATGCAGTTCATACCTTCTCCACCAATGTCTGGAACAAGTATAGAATCATTAAAAAATCTGTCTACAAGGAGGCGAACTAGTGATCGCAACGACGCCAGGTACATTTCAAAAATTTTAATCCAAATGTTTTTGCAAAATAAGAATTAATTATTTTTTATTTTAGCTTCATCGAGACCTGTCGCACAGAAGAGTTTGCCTATATCTCCTATGATAACACTTCGCTTAACAGTCCCTCTAGATCATCCAGTTTTGATCGTGTAACCGTGATAGGTAAGCAAGATGATGTGACAAAAACCTACACTTATACCAAAAGAGGAGTTCGTGACCAGCAGCGTAAACGAGAAGTATTAGGAAATAAAAAAAGTAAGAAGGTCTCAAAAAAATTAAGTAATTCCAAACCAGAATCAAATAACAAAAAACTGCAACAAAAACTAAACATTAAAGAAGATGTCTCACTTTTACAAGAAAATATAATACATAGAGATGAAAATCTGTACAGAAATTCTGAACAGAAATTAATGGCGGTTTGTGCCAGTGAAGCTAAGCGTAATACAGGAAACATACTCACGAAAGCTGGTAATATTTTTGATATTCAGTCGCAAACTTCTGCTATCATTTTAACATTCTAAAACTCTAGGTAGGTACTTTATTTTCAGACCCTGAAAAGTCGAGCATCGCATCGGAATCAGAACGCCAAGAGCAATTAAATGGAATTACAAGAGTAGTGTTGAGTAAAGGTATAGAACTTCATGATAGTAAAAATTATTGTAAACAGCGAGAAGCTAGAAAGTGCCAATCTAAGTCAACCTCACCAATCGGTAAAAGAACACAAATAACAACAGCTGAAATAAGAAAACAAATAGGCAGTTTGAAATATCCAATAATTGTAACTGGAAAAGAAAAACTGAGTTCCTATACACAAGTTAATGATTATAAACCTCCTCAATTTCTGGGTCTAGATAAACATATATGGCCATTTATGATAAAATGGTTACCCGAATCGCAAAAAGCTACAATATCGATAGAAAGAAAAACTCCCCCTGAGATAGCCCGGACAAATAAGCTGAGAACAGAAGTTGATGGATTCCGAGATGGAGTTCCACGGAACAATAGTGCAAGTTGTAAGTTGCATAATAATGACAAATTAAAAAAAAATAAAAACCAATTATCTTCGCAGCCAATCAGTGAAAAGGAAAAACCAATGAGGATATTTAAAGATAAAATGTTAAATTTAATGTATAGTAACAAATATTCGATTATGCAAAATGCAAAGAGTAATGGCATAAATAATAATGCTGTAAAAGTTAAACATCATTCTTTGACCATTGAAACCCAAACACCCTATTCTAATATATTTGTAAAAAAAGATAAATACGCTTCACCAGCAGTGGATACAGATTTACCAAATATCAATAGCTTAAAGTCAAAATCAAAGCACTCTTGGTCAAAAGCAAAGTGGGCTAGTGATTTTATAGAAAATGTTATAAGAAAAGTAAAGTGTGGAGTTTACTACGGTCAGGAAAGTAAGAAAATTATAAAAAGTAAGTACATAATATCATACATATATATAACACGAAAATAGATAATATTTAATACATTTTAAGATATTCAGTCCTCTCATTGTTGATTTTTAGGTATATATGCTGACAGTAAATTAACTCAAACAGATAATTTATTTACCGACGTTAAGGATGATGAAAAAGTTCTAAAAGAAGATATTATTTCCAACCAATTTTGTTACAATGGAGTAATTCCTGGTTTTGAAGATAAAATCCAAGAATTGAAATTAGAAACGTTCTCAAAGAGCCAAATTGCAGTTAAACATTGCAACACGAATGTTGTTGTACAGTTTGACATCGCACTTCCGATAGATACTAATGGAATTTTGCAAAAGGATTCTAAATTTCTTCTTCCTACAGAAATAAGTGCTAGTAGAATATATAAATACAAGGCGACTATTACAAATGCTATTTTGCCAGCTGAATTGTGCAGTATATTTCCAAAAATGCTTAGTAATATATTCGATTCGAATATTACTCCACTTTCACCTCAACTAATAATTAATGATATTCAATGCCATGATCTTTTCCCGATAAAAGAATTAACGCAACATGAATGCCTCAATACGTTTAATAAAGTTTCAATGCTTAATCTTCCTAACACTTCTCCCCCGATATTACTACAAAATGGAAGATTTTCTGATACTTTTAATAATGTTCAAATTTTTAGACCAAAAATGTTAAATCACATTCTTGGGCATTCAGAGTTTAGTAATATTTTACCACAAATAAAAACAAAAGCTTTATTTGAGAACATTTCGCACGTATGTAAAATACTATTTAAATCTGAGCCTTATGAGCCTAAAGTCCAGAAATTAACGGTGCACGATGTTTATGCCGACAACATAAAGATTAATACATGTACCGCTATTGTTCCATATGTGCCAAATCAAAGTAAAATTTTAGATCTAAGCAATCGAAAAGAATTAAAATATGTCAAAACAAACAGCTATTGGTGTGTTAACTTTGATTTAGGACTCCTGAGCACGTTTAAAGTAGAACGTTTCGGAACCCAGACCGTCTTTTCGCTAAATAATAACTCGGACAACACAATTAGTTTTATCGTGAATAATCTAACAGTGGAACTGTTATATAAATATTACGAAAATGTTTGTAATAAAGCAGATTCTTTCTTCTATGACGACAAAACTGATTCAGACGGACTCGGAGATCGACATACATTGAAATCTAGTAAAAGTAGGCTGATGATTAAAAAAATTAATAGGAGAAGTAGTTGCGTAAAGCTTTGCAAGAAATGCAAATCAACATCAAGTATACCTCATAAAAGAAACACTCCGTTGCAAAAGATTGCAAATTTACACGAATTTTTCCAAGCATTGGGTTCGGCGAAAAGTTTGGCAGATGCAATCGATGGAGATACTGAAAGGAAAATCCTATTGTCGGTTGTTGAGGTATTAATTCTATCTAAACAGTAGAAATTACAGCAGTATTGGTACTAAAATGTATCTTGTTATTTTTTAGATGAAAGCTTGGATAACGGAAATTACTCCTAGACAAGCGCTTATGATTCTTCTACTGGCAAATAAAAAGGAAACTTCTAATATTATTCGCTTTCGCAATGTCATATTGCAAGGCATTGCAACGAATAGAATCACCAAAATATCAGAATTGGATATGGAAATAGAAGTTATTGAAAGAGAGAATTTGAATAATTCCGTACTAGTAAGTTAACATACTTAGTCAAAAAAAAAGTAGTGTATCGTCATTCGGGTATGAACTAAGATTATCAGGTTATTTAATATTGTCTTTTATTGACATAACTTTTAGACATAGAAAAACACTTTTTTAACGGATTTGAATTTACCTATGTTTTACTATAAATTAACAATTATTTTACATAATTTTAAATTTAACCGACGTCACCGTGATCACGCACGCTGTAAAGCACGCGAAACGTCGGTTAAATTTAAAATTATGTAAAATAATTGTAAATTTATAATAAAACATAACTTCGAATCCGTTAAAAAGTGTTTTTCTAGGTTATTTATTGTTATGATTTAGTTAGTGAATAGTTTCACAATATCTTATATAATGTATTATACTTGTACAAAATCACAATGAACACTGAAATTGGATATATTTGGGTGTCTTCGATTGCTTGAGCAAAGTTAGTTTACAAAAATCTTTATTTCTCCTTTAACTTTTAGTGGCCAATACTTTCACATTTAATATTTAAACACCGAAAGGTTTTCTAATTTTATTATATAAACTCAGGATCGATATGCCATATCCTACTAAACGATTGTTATAATTACAGTTACAAGGAATATCATATGTGCCGGCTTCCACGGAAGATAATTTACTGGAGGAATTGTGCTGGATAGCGAAAACCACTGTAAGTACTATTGGACTGTATGGTTGGTTAAGTCTTTAAAAGCATTGATTAAAGTATGGTGAAACTTATTCTGCGTAGTTTAATTCATTAGTTATTCAATGCAGCGAAACTGCATCGCGTGACAATATTATGCCATGGTATTTGTGTATATCAGGCTTACTCTGTATCTCATAATGGCGACTTGATAGTTATCTAATTATACATAGCGCGAGATCGCCATTGGAAATTCTGAGTATGGGCTCGAATGAGGACAGTGTGAATTACGTTGCTCTTAAACAGTTTTGATGGGAATTGTATTTCATCACGCATAGATAAAGTGAATTAACATAAAAAAATTATTTATAGGCGTCTGACTACCAGAAGCCTTTCGATAAGACATCAGAGCGCCTACTAAAGTCTCTTCTAGGTAAACGAAAGAAATTGAACCCTTCTTATCTACGAGTTATGGCACGTTATGTTGGACTTGGCTTACTTAAATCCAAATGAAGGTGTACCTATATAATTGTCTTGTTCTATGAAAATTGTCTTGTGATTAATTTCTTATTATTATACAATTTACTAAATTATGAACTTTTTAATGTTTTAAACTTACACCTTTTATTAAACGTCATTGATTAAATGAATTTTCTAAACACTAATCTGTCTCTTCGCCATAAACAAATCTTCGACAAAAATACGAATGAGTACTTTGTGGTGTAATTAGATCAAATTTAGGTTTTTCAATAAATGAGAAAACTTAAATTATTCCGAGAACCCAATTCTAGCATATAAAGTAGAGATTAAACCGATGTTCGGTAACCATACTTAGCAGGCCTATCTGGCTCAAATTTTCAATCCGGCGGAATACCGGATTTCGAATAAACACGGCATAAAGATTGAAGTCACTTTATGTTACAGCGAATCATATTTTTTTATAACAGAACATACAAATTAATACTCAAACTGCACTGAGGGCAACAGACGCTTTCGCTTCTCTTCATATAATAGGCCAACTTCCGAAAGTGGTCACTAATATCCGGCATCAAGGTTAGCTGAATATTTGGTATTTAGGATAACATCTATCCTTTCATTTCTATTACAAAGTAAATTCCACATTTGCCTCTAATTGCCATTTTTAATGGTATATCCATTAAAGTTCTTTAAGAAATGGCTACTGCACTGGCTCGCGCAAATCAATATTACAAGCAAAGTTTGTGTGCTTGACAGTGGACGTTCAGCTTTATCTACGTATTTTCAATTCATTTAAGTATAACACAGACCATAAATAAATTAAACCATTTTTACTATGTCTGGAAGGTTTTTTTTATATAGATATATTATTAAACAAATATTTAGGTAACAGTCACTTAAATCATATTTATAATTTCAGGGATTTAGCTGCAATAAAAATCTATAGAATTTTCTTAAGAGTTTATTTTAGACATTCACTTTTGTGGTGCACTCTGATTTGAGCTCTTTGAATCACGAATTGAAGCTGAACGTCTGCGCTTGATCTCTTCTTGGCGACGTACCTGTAAATTAATATAAATATTGCAGCCCTTTTTAACATCAAACATTGGCCAAAATAGCTAAAATAGTGCCTATCTTAATATATATATTTCTTCTGTGCGTGTGTATGTGACTGAACTCCTCCTAAACGACTGGACCGATTTTGATGAAATTTTTTGTGTGTGTTCAAGGGGATCTGGGAATGGTTTAGATTCACAAATCAGCCCGGCAGATGGCACTGCAGTCGGTACTTTCATACTTTGCTTAATATCCTAATCGCTTTAAATATCATGCAGGACAACGTCTGTGGGGTCCACTAGTGAATACATATTATTCGAATATTAAGGGTTAATTTGTGGCTGATTTAATACCTTTACTTACATCAATGGTAAGAAAAGGGGTAAGACACAGCACTTTCTATTACAGCTTGGTACAATTATTATAAATTGAAAGTTACAATTATATGGTACCAACTGTGAAATCAAACAAAAAATAAAATACATCAGTGTATTCCTTAACTGATCAACTTGTAGAAAGTCAATCAATATTTCATTAGTTACCTTAGATTCCTTCTTTCTCTGAGCAAGCAACTTAGCATAGTCTGCTTCAGATGCCTTGCGTTTAGCCAGGCGTTTCTTCTTAAGGGCCAGACGGTGGCGTCTGCGCTGTAGAACCTCGGGTGTTACTAGCCTTTGAATCCTAGGAGCCTGTAAAGTATTGTATGTATATTAGATACTAGTTATTTTTGGTGTAAATAAAAATTGAAACTTCAACCATGATGCCACTTCATTATTCATTGATGAATTTCTGAAGAAACACTTATTTTTCATTTAATATTAAGCCTGAATTAAAAGATTGTAGATGTAGAGTATAATAAAATTTAAATGTTTTGCTCACTGTAAAAGTAGACAGACATGATATCTGAATCTTCTGCTCGGAGCTAATTTTATATCCCCTGGTCTAAATTGAACAAGTTATCATAACTTGACCACAGAAATATGACCAGGGTAACTTACAAATTAGACATCATTAATTATGCTCACCTTGTATCTAGGTTTGGCATTTTCTTTGCCTTCTTTAGCAGGCAGGAGACGTTTTACAACATACCGTCTCACATCATCTTGTTTGGTCAAGTTAAATAGTTTGCGGATCTTGGAGGCTCTCTTGGGTCCTAGACGACGAGGTACATTTCCATCAGTAAGTCCAGGAATTTCCTTAAGAATGAAATAATAATAAAGTTACATTTCTGTACTAAACAATTTGTTCTTGAAGTCTCACAAATTTTCTTGTTTTAGTAATATAAATTTTAAGCTGTCTGTTCCTCAAATTGGAATAACCACAACTATCAAGTTGTTGCATTTCCGGAGAACAATATAATATCCCCTGCCGCATATAATTACCCAAATTTGAAGATTTAGGAAACAGTAAGAACAGGGTAAAAGTTTGTTCAATTGTTAGACTGCATAGAATGTTTAGGTTATAACATATGCTTTGACATTAATAGCAACTTACTTGAGCACCCTTGCGTACAATAACTAGAGCCAATACAGACAAGTTAGCATCAACAATGCAACCTCGGACTGATTTACGCTTTCTTTCTCCGTCACGACGTGGTCTGTAGCAAGAATGACCCTTGGACATCAATAAACGTACACGACCTGAAATAGTGAAAAACAAAATAATCCTTAATTAACTTTCCATCAAGTCAGGATGTCTGATATAATCAAACTAAATCATATATGACTAATACTGTACTACATACTAAGTAAGGTTATAAACATTAAACTTTAATTTTTGACACTATAAACATTAGACTTCGATTTAAATTTTACATATTAAATAGAGATTGTTGAAAAACTTACTGTTTGTAAGAACTCCCTGTTTCATAGGGAAACCTTGCTTGTCGTTTCCACCGGCAACACGGAGTATGTAGCCCTTCCATTCGTCACCTAGTAGGTCAGCTTCGACCTCAGCACCCATACGCTTCTCATAGAAGATACGGAGCTTATGTTCATCTACCACTTCAAATAGCTTCTGGCATCCCGTTGCCGGGTACGAAACGTTTAACTATAAACAACAAAATCAGGTTAAGATGCTGCCACCACATCGTAAGTTTCCTGTTAACATAAATAAACACTAGATTGATTAAGACCATGCCGCATTGTTCCTCTTCAGTTTTCACTACACATTTGATAAGTAAAACTTAAGCATGATGATTGTAGGTCACTTCATCGCACTTTACCCAAAGTATCACAACACCTATTAAAGATATTCTTGTTTAATATAATAGTAAAGCTATAGAAGGTAATTCATTGGATAATATTTTGTTTAAATTTACTTATATTTATTAATAAAAACATTTTTTGAGAACCTTCATGACTGCGGCTAGCTCCTTTGAACGTCAGCCATGAAAAAGACTCAACTGACAGATGTCAATACTTAACAGAGATAGTGGTTCATAGATTTCAAGTTTTGGTCTGACACAGATGATATCACAGATAACATTTTCAACAACAAATAACAAAACATCTGTTGTACGATAATAAGCAATATGCCAAAAAAAAATGTATGTGCTTGAAAACATAAAAAAGAAATCGATAATTTAAAAGAATAATGTCATTCAACAATAATGTTATTGGAGTTTTGATAATTTACACAAAAGATGTCTACGAATGTCAGAATTTCACAATTTTAAAAATTACACTGACACTATACTATTGCCTTACGTCTGTAGTCTAATGTCAAATGTGTAATGTCTAATGTCTATTCAATTTCATAATTCATAGTTTTAAGATTTGTTTTTGTATTAATAATTAAAGTAAAATTGTCATATCTTTATAACTTCCTTTAAAATGTCTGAATAAATTAATGCAATACCAAAGTTCCTCTTATCGCACACAGTCGTATCTGACGTTGATATCTATATATATATTTGAAGTAATAACAGTTTAAATCTATTTAACCTGCTAAATTATTACCATGAACAACGAAGAAAGTATTATATTAGCTAACCGGCAGCATGGAAAATACTTTATGCGATTTTTAGATGTTTTACCAGCGTCTCTTTCTTCTCATGATACCACTAGGTACCTAAATTTAAATTATATTTTTTATTTATTTTTTTGTGGTGAATTGACAAGGCTATCATAATATGCGTCTAGGTGCCTACTTATGGTTCTAAGTAGGACTCCTACGAGTAACATATGAATAGTTTATTACAGTTATTTACAGTTTAAATGTTCGTATTTTATATGTTCTGTGAAATGATCAGTATTTTTAATTAAATTTCAGGGTAACCATAGCATACTTTGCCGTGTCTGGACTAGATGTGTTAGGCTCCATTTCTACTATGTCTCTTGAACTTCAGAATAGGATTATACAGTGGATATATAGACTTCAAGTGCATCCAGATAAAGACAGTGAGTAACTAATTTAAACTCTTACCATTACAATTATAGATCTCATCTTTTTTAATTTAATTTGTTTGAATGTGTTATTTATTTATACTGACAAAACAGTTATGTATATATTGTGTGTTAAGTAAGTTTTATTAGAAGAGTTATGTTAAAACTGGATCTAGAATTTTTGTTCTACTTAATATGTACTGACACAAATTGATATTTACATATAATAATATACCAGATTTATATAGGTTTGCATCAAAGAGGTACCTAAATTGTACATAGTTAAGATACCTAAACTATATAAAGTAGTTTTATTTAATCTAGATATCCTAGGTACCATTTGTATAAGCAAGACTAATTAATCTAAATGGAAACAATGGATATCTAGAAACTAAATAAGTTTGGTTCGCATTTTTTGCTGTTTGTACATTTACAAAATATTATCATATTTATTTTTAATACCATGGGTCCGAAAAAGATGATGTCTATTGAATTAAATTGTGATATCATTTTCTTATTGAACATAATCAGCTAAGGTGGTGTTTTGGGTGCTGGACCGGTTAATGACATTTTAATTCATGTCAATGGGGTAAATTTCTTTGAGATACAAGCAATTTGACATATATGAGAAACATTATGAAAGGAATTAAACTTGAGTTTGAGTTACTACTGTATATCCATTTTTCATTTTAACTAAATGTGTACAGTATGGGAACATAATTGTATAGGCCAGTCAATAACACTTCAAGGTTACTAAGAATAATAATATTTTAGTTATTTGGTTATCCTTCTACTTATATTAATGTTAATTACTATATTATCATTATTAATTAAAGGCAAGTAACCAATTATTATCAAGTACAATGTTGTGGTGTTGTTATAGAATGCTTTATATGTTATATTACAAATTGTTTGATCTACATTTTTGGTAAAATTAAAGTATGTAACATAAGTATATGGGTTCAAAGGGATCATACACTTTTAAAATAGAAATATGTTTAATCATAACCTTTATTATGGTTGCCTTGTTTGAACTGAGATATCCTACAGTAAACTTAATGTAAGTGTTTTGTCTGTCTTTATAACTTGGAAAAATAATACATGTGACAAAACATCCATTAATTATATAGGAATAAAAAATTATGCATATGAATTGAGAGAATCTAATCTAGGAGCAGTGTTTGCTCTGTGTTTAAGTGCAATTTTCAATTCAGAGGTTGTGTAATCACAAGTTCCTAGAGCTAAAATTCTTCTATATGTACCTACGGCTTGCTTATCTGCTACTTTTAATGGTCCAGTGAACAGGCTATTTCTTTTTAACAACTTAATTACTAACATTGATGAAAATATTGATATATTTTACAACAATCTTCCTACTTACCGTAACTTTGTTCACATTCTCATAATGAGGTTTAAGTTTCTATTTAGTTTTAGTTATTATTATAATTATTTTTGCTAGCCTGCTTAATGCTTATGTTCTAATATAATTGATGGTATGGGTCTGTGTGTAAAATTAGTGATGTCATATTTTCTTGTATAATTTTATGGATAGGTTTATATCTATGCGGGCCATAGCCAATTGCCTGTTCGCCTGTACGGTGAAGAAAAATATCGTGAAGAAACTGTCCGAAATCACATGTAAAAACACAACTAATGCAGAAATGTGTCTGTCCCATACCCTATTCACGTGACTTCAAATGTTACGTGGGATACAAGGTTTTATTCATAAAAATATATATTTAAGTGTCATGTAATTAAAGATAAGCTTCTGTAATGTTCTTATTTATCTTTTATGAATTAACTTTTATTGCGAACTTAATTTTTTAAATACTTATGAGGACAGAGTAGAGTGATATCTTTTATGGTGGTTTAATATATGTATAAACATACGTGAGGATATTTGAGCATGTCACGGTATCTACTGACGGTGTATTTACCGTTATGATATTTACGTTTTTGATAAAGTTTCACCTTAATTGCATTACAGATGTTACCTTTGTTATGACGATGAAAATAATTCTGCGCCGATTTACTGATAATTATAACTTTATTATTCACTAGCGACCCGCCACGGCTTCGCACAGTATTTAATTGGATAAGGCTTAATGCTGTATTGGTTAAAATCGCTTCGAAAATTAACCATTATTTGTCGTAAAAAGTAAATGACAAAAAAATGTTATTGTGGGATATCCATAAGAGATAGACATATACCATCGTGGAGTTCCTTATACCTTTTCAATGGTACAATACATTATTTTGATAAATCTCGTAGGGTTCAGCCTGCGTTTGCATTGTAAGCGGAAAAAATGTAATTATCTACGACATCACATTAGAAACCTCAAAAATAACAGTATTTCTCCAATATTAAGCTATTGCATAGATTTTATCGCAGGCTTTGAGCGCGGCGACCGAATCAAGAAATTCCGTCACGAAAAAACCTAACACACGATGACGTAATATAGGTAATATACCGCGTTAGCAGCCACAAAAAACACACACACCCCACACACCCCACAAGGAAGGGGAGCGCGGGCGGCAGCAACGGCAAGAGAAAAAAAAAAAAAAAAGGGGGGTGTGTTGTTGGTCGGTTTTATGGGGGGGGGGGAAAAAAAAAAAAAAAAAAAAAAAAAAAAAAAAAAAAAAAAAAAAAAAAAAAAAAATATTTATATATATAAAAAAAAACTTTGCAATAGCTTTACCGCGGCAGTCCCCGAGTGCCACACGTTTTTTTTTTAATGGATGTTATTATCTATTATATATAATAAAAATGAAACCCGTTTTCCGTTGTCACGACATAACATGAAAACGGCTTGACCGATTTGTCTGATTTTTTTAAATAATATTCCTTGAAGTACGAGGATGGTTCTTACGGAGAGAAAAATTAAAAAAAATTGAGTGAAAAAGTCTAAAAACAACACTTTTCTATATTCCCATACAAAATATTCGTAATAATACTTAAAAGTCAATTTGAACTTTAATACCATATCATAAAGTTCAAGTATTAGTGGAGGGGGGTTCCGGGAAGGTGAATTTTAATTTTTTGACATAATGTATTTGTTGTCTTATCAACTTCCTTTTTTTTATCTTACTAGCAGGCGGCAGAATAAGTATTTAAAAAAATAAAGAATCGACTGTTAGGCGGTACGATGTTCGCCAGGCCAGCTAGTACATAATATAAACCTTCCTCTTCAATCACTCTATCTAATATCATTGCTTGTGGCGGCGTCCATGCGTCGGGTTGTCTCTCTCCCTAAAATATGGCGAGGGGGCCGATGGCTGGCCATGCGTCATACTCGTGAACGGGTGCTACTTTGGTCGTGCTTGAATTCGTGTATGCGGTGATGTTAATTATTTCGACTATGTGTTTGCGTGTTGTTCCCACGAGAATGTAAGTGCGTGCTTCTATTTCACCATGCCTCCTGCTGATAGGGGACAAGTCTTTGTTTTTATTCATGTTATTATTATTAATTACTTAAAATGTCATGTGGAACATGGTGTAATGGTTGCAGCTCCTTACAAACGTTGTAAAAAAAAAAAAAAAAAAATGGCGATTAAAAGAGATGGCGGAGAGTTTTGCCAGTTCTTCTCTTCCGTTCTACGCCCTTGATTTGAGAACTGGCAGTAAATGTAAAATTAGAAGCATTAATATTTATTTCTTTAATGACGAATCACAAGCGTACATTGTGTTACCTACGTGAATAAATGATTTTTGAATTTTGAATTTTTTTTTTTTAATAAAAAAACCGCATCAAAATCCGTTGCGTAGTTTTTAAGCATACATAGGGATATAGGGACAGAGAAAGCGACTTTGTTTTATACTATGTAGTGATGTAGACGTAAAGAGTCGTGATTGTTTATATTATATTCCTGCCACACTGTCACTTGTCACAGGTCTTTGACTTACTAGGGAGGCCTCAATCTGAACTCTATGTCTAATAGCTAAACAAATAAAGAAATTTTTTTTTTAAATTTTGACTTGTTTCCTTGAAGATTTTAATCATATAAATTAAGTTAAAAGCCTTAAAATAATAAGCACTCTATTACCTAAGCCTTTATTAGGATAATATACATTATATATCATGTGCTAATGCCGTCAAGGACCTGTCCTTCCTTGCTTACACTCTAAAAATATCTATTATACACCGAAATACTAAATCTTTTTTTATGGCACGATTTCTCTGCAGAAGTCCATTGTATTAATTTTCATTCACTAAGAATCTGTACGCACGCTTATGTGGAAAAGCATCGAATTATAGGTATATTGAAATCTGTTAAATAATTTTCTTTACCATATTTTATGAGTAAGCTATGATAGATTAGTTAAGGTAAATTTGACAACGATTTTAATGAGAGTAGTTTCAGATATTAATAATTTATATTTTCAGCGGGTGACATGTCTGCTTGTGGGTTCCAAGGATCTTCAACTGTGAACATAGATTTCAACTCAGGGAATAAGTTGTATAGATGTGGCCATTTAGCGATGACTTATACCGGCCTCTGTATTCTACTGGCGTTAGGTGATGATCTTTCGAGGGTTAATAGAAAAGCAATTATTGAAGGCAAGTAAATATAAAAAGGTAGAATTAATTTCGATATTCATCGCATACTTTACACCTAAGTAACTAAGTAAAGGTCACCCATGAAGTAAGGACACACTGTCTATTTTATATTTAATCTAAAAAAATAAAAAAAAATCCCTTGGAAGTTCATATCATGTCCACTTGACCTACGGAGGAAACATAAATACTTTGTCTCCCTTGATAAACGAAAAAATATCCAAGCTAAACGAAAAAGGTTCGTTTTATAGGAAAAATCTAAAGAAACTTGTACTTGTTTTGTTGTTACTTTCTATTTTTGTGTTCTTAGAAGGAGGTTTTAATAATAAATAAAAATGAATCGCAAAATGTGTTTCGAAGCGCAAAACTCGAAGACGACTGAACCAATTCGAGTATTTTTTTATTTATTCCTTGAACTCTGAGGAAGGTTTTTATGGAGACAAAAAATCGGAAAAAGGCTAAGTATATTAAGGCGAAACCTAGTTGGCAGAGCTAGTAATAATTAAAAAAGTATCGTTAATTTTTGTACCAGTATGACGCTTTTAATATAAACTTATTCGATATACCTAATAAGGTATATTATGATACTTAAAAGAAATTTGACCTTCAATAGTTTTCATGACCAAAACAAGATATAAATGACGCTATATGACCTTGTATGTGTGTATATTTATTTTGGATACCCGTCGCACTTCGTCGACCTCTGTTAATAATGAATGTATTATTTGTTATTAGTACAATTAAACGTTACAATATAAAATATTGTATATATATATATATAAAAGGAAAATGGTCTTCGTTTGAGGCTCCTTCACGCCTAAACCACTGATCGTATCGACATGAAACTACCACCATTCGATGCGGTATTTTTCCTAGATGGTTTAGGGCTATTTATTTATTAAATTCCAACGTTCGTTTTTTATTGCTGTTTTACTTTTATGAAAATTTATCCATACGGACTTCACCGCGGAAACATTCGGGGAGGCTTCCTAGAACCTCTAAACGTCAACATCTGTTAAAAACTCGATTTTCGAAATATTTCAATTTTCTTAGCGGGAAGTTAAAAAGAAAAATAATAAAAATATGAAAAAAAAATAAAATAATGAAACATAAAATTTATTTTAATTCGTCCAGCAAAGCGGGCGCGAAACGGCTAGTATATATATATACAGTCAAAACCGTTTATAACGACATCGTTTACAACGACCTATCGGTTATTACAACCAGATTGTATGGTCCCGTCCGAATCCCTAGTAAACTATTCAGTAAAGAAACCGCTTATAACAACATCGGATACAGCGACATATCGCTTACAACGACGAAAGTTTATCGATATTCATCGGATATAACGACCAACCGCTTCTTGTCTCAGTAAAACAAAACAATACAAACGATTTTAAATTTTATTTATAAGCATTGAATGAATATTTAGGCATATTATTACCTACGCACTTTCTCCCAACGAACAGTTTCAGCCAACAACAATTTCCGAGGCTCTTAACGCTGTAACGATTTTGCAAAAAATTTGTTGCCTTTAACGAACAGTTTGATACTGGTGATACTCATACCTTGAGGAGTATGAAACGTAAAATGCAAAAAATATTTGAGACTGGGCTAAAAAAAACAGACTGACTGATTACTTTTGTACCTAATTATTTCGTAATAAATATTTTTGTTTCTTTTTTGACTCGTTTACATATTATAATATTAACATACCATATTATAACCCATACCTACCTATTCTAGATCTATAACTATGTACATACATATTATGTACTGTACTTGTGTACATGACATTGCTTATAACGACTATCGGATATAACGTCGGCAACTATACGGTCCCTTCAATGTCGTTATAAGCGGTTTTGACTGTATATATACAGACAAAACCGTTTACGACGACATCGTTTAGAACAACATGCCGGTTATATTGACCACAATCAAAGGTCCCGGCTGAATTCTATTTATTGTATTAGGTATTTAATAACAACGTCATCGGCTGTTTCGACTATCGGGTTTTCACGACCAAATATGAGTAGTCCCTTCGATGTCGTTATAACAGATTTTTACTGTATACTTATTGATTTGGTCTTGATTAGGTTAGGTTTTGATCTTCCCTATGTTTTGCGTGTGATTCCATCCTTTTTCACACCTAGAAAGGTTCTTCACTAGTCCGGAAATCACCTGATAACCGGGTTTCCTGAAAGCGTTACCAGATTTCTAGGCTCTGAAACTGCATAAAAAAGATTCATCCTCTTGAAAATTGTAAATTTATTTAATTAAAATTTTCAGTATATGATAGAGCCCCGCTTGAAAAATTCATGAGTCTTGTAAACGTCTGTTGTCGAATAATCTAGAAAACATTTCATTCAACCCGTCTTTGTAACAATATAAATAAAATGTGTTCGTCCTACGCCTTAGATGCGGATTTTTATAATTTATAATCACTTTATGTTAATAATTATAACTTTAACTAGAAAACACATTAATCTCAGTTTTATTAATCATTATTTACAATTGTCTCAACGTCCTAGGCATATTGTCATCTATATATATATTTTTTGTGTGACAAGAGAACTTTCATTCCACTGATATGATTTATAATCATATTTATCTATTAATTATCAATCTGAACTTGGTGTCTTTATTACGAAAAAGGTATTAATAATATTTGTATTCTTAGGTGTGAAAGCGTTACAAACTGAAGAGGGTAATTTTGCTGCAACTCTATCGGGCTGCGAGTCAGATATGCGTTTCGTGTACTGCGCAGCGTGTATTAGCTACATACTGAACGATTGGTCCGGGTTCAATATTAAAAGGGCTACGGATTATATTCTTAAGTCTATAGTAAGTAATAATTCAAATTCTTAAATGTATTCCGTCTTGGCCGCGGGTTTTTTTTGTTTAATATAAATTTCCCAATATCCCCGACTGTTGTGGCGCGGGACCTTATTTTATACACATATTTTGTACAAATATAAATATAGTAAGAAATTTCCTAATACATATAAATATATATTATTATTCCTATTCTATATTTATAGGCGAGGGGGGGCCCGTCGTCTCGCCTCCGCTACGCTCTTGTTACAGTGCGTGACGCTTGGCCACTGTTTATTATTTCATGTTCATCGTTCGAACACCGACTATGCCTGTGAATGCTTGTTTCTATTTACGCAAGAGCTAACTAGTGGCTTCAGCGTGCGACTCTCATACCTAAACTGACTCGAATCCCCGGTTGTGCACCAATGGACTTTCTTTCTCATTTAACATTCGCTCGAACGGCGAAGGGAAACATCGTGAGAAAATCGGCTTGCCTTGGACCCAAAAAGTCGTAGTAGACGGCGTGGGTCAGGCACAGAAGGGTGATCGCCTACTTGCCTATTATATTAACAAATAATCATGAAAGAGATACAGAAATCTGAGGCCCAGACCTAAAAAGGTTGCACTGCCACCGATTTTATTTACGCAATTTACACTTGCTATTTCGGCCAAGAAAAATAATCTTAATTACATTAATTTTTTTGAGAATTGATTAAAATTAACTTTGACAAAGTTATTGAGGTGTTTTAATATGAACGAATTTCAGGGGTACGACTATGGAATTGCGCAATGCCCGGAATTAGAGTCACACGGCGGGACAACATTCTGTGCTTTGGCAACCCTGAGTCTAACTAACCAGCTAGACCAATTATCAGAGGCCCAAATCGAGGGTCTTAAAAGATGGCTTCTTTTAAGGCAAATAGACGGTTTTCAAGGGAGACCTAATAAACCGGTTGACACCTGCTACAGTTTTTGGGTTGGGGCGTCCCTAAAAATTTTGAACGCATTGCATTTATCGGACTATGCGAATAATCGGAGTTATGTGTATGAAACTCAAGACATTGTTGTTGGGGGATTTTCAAAATGGCCGGACACGTGTACGGACCCGATGCACACGTATTTGGGCTTGGCCGGACTGAGTCTTATCGGTGAGAGTGGTTTGATTGAAATTGTACCTACGCTGAATATAAGTAAACGGGCGCACGAACATTTAAAGACATTGCATGAACAGTGGGCAAGTTCATAGTTTTAATAATATGTATTTTAGACTGGTTAGGAGATTTTTGACAGACTAATGAATTTAGGGAATTTAGAATCGTCACGTTATCATCGCGATTTAGAAGATGGTCTGTGCGGAAATTATCTGAGATCTGTCGTCGCAGCAATGCTATATTACCATGAAATAGTCGTAGTTATAGGGTGACAGTAATCATTTTGAAATATAAAATTATAATGATGCGTAGCGAAAAGTACTATTTAGTTAGTAAATAATTATTATTCGTTCGAATAGCAGCCACACTGGTCGTCTTTCCGCACAGACTAGTAATATTTGATTTAAATATTTTACGATGGCAACATTTACAATCGTACTACGAATAACAATACGATAGGAATGTAAAATATCCATTAAATGTTATCATCAGCTCAGCCATGGGTGTGATAAAGTAATAAACTGGAGTTTTCGAAGAATATTTATGAGCCAAATAATTTTTTTCATATAAATATTTTAGAGGAAATATTTTTTTACACTTTACACAGTAGTTTAATTTTATACGGGATACTTAGGATTTTGTAATTACAATCTAATCCTTCAACTGACGGTTTAAACCAACGATAACCTAATTTATCTAGATCTAGTAGGTATGTCAGATTTTGCGCGTATCCAAGACGTGTCTATGGTATATACAAAAGATTTTGACATTTATTTTTATCACATAATATCTTAAATACTATGTCGTTCATATTGGTAAAGCACATAGCTACAATATGACATATAATTTAAAAAAATACTTTGGATTTTTTTCAAAATGATTAAGAAAACGTTTTTGCAGATTGCTTCTATATTATTGTTATTGTCAACGTGTTTTATGCAATTCTGTCGATCTCCTAACCAATGTAAAAATCCCGGTGCTGCCATGAAATATCAGTGTTGTCAGTCCACAATAAAATTTTGCCTACACGCTCGATTAATTGTTGACTCATGTTATATTTTGCAATTGTTAGTACTTAAAGAGTTTAGATATTAGCTAGGTGCTAAATTATATCGTAGAAATGCGAACAACGATTTTTTTTCGACTTTCAGAGATTCATTTTCTTGAGATAGTTTAAGTCGTGCCATATGTGACGGGCATTTTAAAGTATTTATAAATTGCACAAATTTTAGTGTAAATTATACAAGTTTAATTATAGTGCAAAATAAATTGCTAAATATATATAACGCACAGGGTGTCAATCAATTTGTAATTTAAGTGTGCATTTTAATGTTGAATACATATTTTTGAATGTTCTAGAATAGGAAATTGGTTTATGGTACACATTATTTGGCTAATATATATATATATATATATATAATTTATGTACTCCTTTAAAATTTTGGTCCTAAAAAAATAATATTATGTCTTAAAAATGTTAAAAATGCCATAAGCATGTTTAAAAAAAGTTTTAATTCCATATTCATATACATATATATATTCCATAGTCATATCTGTTAGACATTAACAGGAATTGTGTGACAGTTTACAGAATTGTTATTTTGTATGACTGTCTCTTTCCAATAAGTAACAATAAAATAAGACAAAAGCTTTTACATGTTGCACATTCTTGATCTAAATGTCACTCAATTTGTTTGTCAAATTCGTTGCTATAGTTACCATTACTTTATTAAAATAGCCGTAAGAGTATTCCTAAATATTTCTAAAAAATCTAAATTATTGATATTTGAAAGTAATAATTGGATCTGTTAATAAAACGATGATCTAATTAGTAGTAATTCTAAAAAGTTAGTTAAAAGTTATCTTACTAAACTTTTGTAGTGGCTTTCATGGTTAAATTGGTCTTAACAGAGATGGCGCTATTATAAATAAGTCGTAAACCTGAGTGATTTCAATATATTAAATCCGAATATGACGAATCTATTTATTTTTAATACACTTTACCCGTTTCAAAACGAATATTTATAAAATGGAGTTCCTTACAGTTACTGGTAAACTAGTCGAACTTATCGTAAACAATATGATTGTTTTATTTCTACTTAAGAAAGTGTCAGTTGAGTGAAAATTTTAATTACTGCTATCAATCTCAAATTTATAGTATTAAAAGGTTTTCTTATTTATTGTCAATTTGGAGATAAATAATCGCAACAAATGTTTATGAATAAGACCGCAAAATTATGTGAGATGCGGTAAATTTTTCACTCAAGGTGTTAGTGCCCAACATTTAGTTTTTTTAAAACTCTTCGAAAGTTCCATAGATGGCGCTTAATAACATTATTTACAGTTATATTAAAAGTTACTTAAATAATAATGAAACTATAATAACCATCAATGGATTGTCGACTTTGTAATTGTTTTTGAAACATTACGTCATTTTATATTATTTAGCATTATTATACAATTTTATTTTCTAATTTCGTATTAAAATACATAGTGTTTAATCATTTTACATAACATTGTGCGAACCAATTTTTTGTAGATAAAAATATACTTACTAATCTAATAATTTATAAAGTTTTTTTTTTATATTTTCCATAATCTACTTCGTGCGCCCGACCTTAATATGATGAATAATAATAGACACTAATTTCCATTAAATGTCTTTAGCATCGAGGTCTATGTTTTTCCGCACCCGGAACGCATGAAACACATGACTAAAGTTATACAGCGAATATTAAATATTATTCATATATATTCTTTCGAATTGAACTCTGGACCTGGTGTAAATGCTGCAATAAAGTAAATGTTGTAGCAAGACCAATTTAGCTACGGACTCATTAACTTAATGCTGTGTATTTTAATTATTGTGAAACAAAAACTAATAATCACTGTGGAAAGTGCTATAAAACTAAACAACATTCCTTGGAGGCTCTTTTTATTCTGGCTGAAATCTAATCCAAACAATTATCCCAAGAGTTTCCTTGCTTATTTCCATTAATTAAACAAGAAAACAGATCGTCTAGATAAAAGGACTATAAATCTAAATGATGAATAGGTGAGTTCAGTCCACGGATCAGAATTGTAAATTGCTTATTTGTGCGTATTTGCGGCCGCGGCCGAAATCTGGGCTTAGTTTGATAAAATGTATTCGCTCGTATCGGTTGACATTCCGTTATTCCTCTCAACTATTTGTATAGATTTTCCCTGATTAATTTGCTTACCGATCCCTTTAATCCCCCTGAATGGGGGTCGCAATTACTATTTCGTTAAGATTAATAATTTGCCGTATTACTTTATCTTAAGAACATTTTCGCTTAAATATAATACGACACGATTTTTAAAATGAAAACAGAAGGTTTTTAAAATTAAAGTAGGCTAGGGGCTGACCTGGTGCCAAGTGTAACGGCCACCCATGGCCCTCATGGCCTTTTAGGACACCATAGTGGTGGTGCAAAAAACAAACGAACAACGAGATGTGGCTAGTATAATATTTTTTTTATTATTTTAGGCATAAGTTACAAAACTGTATCAAGTAAAGTTTAATATTAGGTTTAAGGTTACAGGAGTCCATCGTTTTTAATTATGATTTTGCTTTAATAAGTAACAATTATTATAACAGTCTTTACCTAATAGGTTAATATCAATTAGCAATTTAGTCAGGATTATTAAAGCGTCGCGTGATTCATATTAACTTATAATATGGGTTACATTATTCATATACCTGGTAGAATTTGTATACTTAATATATTTTTAATTTAAATTTATTAAAAGATCAAACCACAGTTGAGGAAAATTATTTGATTTATACCTCAATAATCAATATCAGTAAACAGAGCTTTGCGACGTAGATATAAAAAAACATATCCGGTTTCCTGATGTCGGTTTAAAAGTATTTTAATCACAGCGGATTCGTAAAAATTATCTAACCAGGATCATAGAACAATAAAGATATCAGTTAAATTTCGAGAACAGTTATAAGGTCTAAAATTCCTTTCGGGTTGGAATTGGCGGAAAGTATAATAACATAGAGAATTTATTGAATTCTGAATGCTGCGTCCATACGGAAAACCTTTGAAATACGAGTTCTGCCGTTCATTGAACAGCGCTTACCTAAATCTTAAATGCACAAGTGTGCTGAGGAGATAGGATAGTTCCCGCTAATACTTCGGTAAGTCGAGCCCCAGATTTAGTTCCCCCGAGCTCGTTTCCGCAGATAACTGGAAACCATACTGCTCGTATAAGTAATGAAGCGTCGTTTTGAATAAAGCGCGGATTTCGATGAATTTGTTCACTTTTGTTAACGTTTTAAAAGGTGACTTAGCTCTTTGGGGCGGTTTCTTAGTTATATTGGTACTATGATAATTTAAATGTATTTTGTAACTTACATCACTGATATTTGTATCGATAATAATTCATTTATGTGGTTAATTAATATTTATACTATCGGGGCCACCTCAGCAGTATGAGGGTAGTGTTTAGGCGAGCCCTGAGGTCGTATATTTGAACCTCAGCAATGCCTTAAAGTTCTTTTTTCTTTGTTTGTAAAAGAAGAAGGAAAACCGGACGAGAAAACCAGATTCTTCTTAAAACTCTTGACTCAACAAATAGTCATATCTACATAATCTTTGATGGTTTTTGTAAACGTTACGGTTACAAATTAAATACATATATGAAAAGAGATTGAATTTACATTTAACAATATTCATGTTGATTATTACTTTTTAGGTATATTTGATAAAAAATAAATTAAAAATAGAATTATTACGTACGTACGTATATTAAAAACATAAATAATTTTCAATATCATATCGCCTAATTTTATTATACTTTATCGTTTTATGTTTATATACTACAGTAACGTGGTCCCATCAGACTCATTAAGAAATGACTTCTATAAATAGAACATGAAATAAATATGAATGAAAGATTTTTATAAAAATGAGACCATACCAGTTCTACGTTACGAAAATCCACTTATAGGGAAGCAACTTCTTGGTCAGTTTTAGATTTGATTCCGATTTTAATTTTACTTCGATACAAAAATATTAGATATATTATAATCAAATCGATCATTCGAGAAGTTTACATTATGGTG